CCTTTCCCATAGTGCCCTAAGCACGTAACTGCTTTGCTTACTGGTTAATTCGGCCCGGGATAGGATATATATATTCGTTGAGAAAATTGTTAAAATACGCATAGGAAGTGTAATTTAGGGTTTGTTGCGGGTTTGATGGATATAACGTTGGAGTGGATATAACATGGACTTTGGCTCGGGCAAGGTCGACCTGAAGACCCGATTCAAATCGGATCGTGGTGGGTATGGTCTGCGTATACCAGATTTCGTAATAGAAAATGAACTCGTCTCTACATTTTTATAAGCTTTTAACTAAGTACAAAATCATAGGTGACTCAGAATAAGCACGTTGACAATTTCATGGATGTATTTTGTCATGGTTAATTAAATATATGATATAAATCCACCACGACTTACTCAAGTAAATAAACAACCGAAATCGTCATCAGATAAAAAAAGGTTCTTTATCTCACAAAGTATAGTTTCATTTGCATTGGTAATTTGCCTATATGTATCTGAAGTCGTCCATTTTATACGAATGTACAAAAATTGGTTTATCTGAGTGTCTCCATAACTTTGAAGTCCGTTTATGCAAGTTGGTGATGTTAGTGTGATACCGTAACTTCCAGGACACCACTCAAATTTCGAACTCGTGACATTCCAAGTTGCTATACGAGAATCAAACTACTTTTCGCAATGTTCATGGTTATGACGAAGATTGCTAGTCAGCGCCGGATTAACCATTAAACAATATAAGCACGTGCTTGGGGCACCAAGCAAAGAGGGGCACCACAGAAATTTTAGAGCAGAATTTTATATAGTTTATCGGTGTTTATTAAAATATTACGAGTTCACCAGACGACTCAAACTTCAATTGTTCGCTTATTTTTCGTCTTCAAGTATCATATTAATCTTCTTTATTAAAAATAAACACTGAAACTTTTTTTTGGACACTTAATGGGCCTATGAGTAGTTTTCCTAAATTGTTGTTGTATTTTCTTTGTTGCTGCATTTTTGTTTTGAAAAAAATTCTTTTGTCTCCAACAATTGGACCAATGAACTATTTACACTATGTGGCGGTTCCCCGATCGCATGTCAACGATTGGTCAGCGGAGTCGGGAGTTTTTTGGTAAGGTAGACCAGGGTGGTCCAAACCCTGTCATGCTGATACATTCCGTGCGGCTCACCGAACAGTTTCAGCGTATATTTGTATCTAATGGAGGAACATTTTAGAGTTTTTTCATAGCTATTCCAACTGGGGTTGGAATCCCGAGATTCAAACGCTTTGTGCCTTTATTTTAGTAAAAACACTCCTCTGTTTTTAATTAAGCATCGGCCATGTGACAGTAGTGACGAAACGCAGAGCCGACTTAACGCCGCGCAATCCAGTTTTTTTCAGCAAGGTCCCGAAATACCAACTTAGACGAACTGGGTTGGTATTTGACGATGGCACTAAGCTTGCTCGCGCTGCAAGTTTTTAAATTACTCAATATAACAATTCGTAATAAAGTGAGTGTCGCAAGAAAGGTGACATAAGGAAAAACACGGCGGAAACGTATTTCCTTGCCCACCACACAGTGTCTGGTTTGATTTCAAGTGATATCTGTCACGAAAGAATATAATTTGAAGCAACATTAAACGCGAGATGCATAAAATACAACGGTAATTTTCAGGAATTAACTTTAAAATAACTGGAGGCTTTATATATCTTCTTTAAAAGAATGTCACCCATGCAACATAATAATAGTCTGATTAGAACTGTAAACTCTCGTTGTTTATTAAATTTAAAGTAAGTAAACTCGCGATATTTCGCTTAGTTTTGGGTTTTCTCCGACTTGCGGCCCGCGAGACTTCCTCAAAAGTTTTTGCGGTCCTTCAACCTAGCACCTTGAACCACCCTGAGGTAGACTACTAGGTACCGGTAAAATTTCAAACTACAGTTGTGACTCGTATCCTTTGGTATTTCGATTCACGTTGAGACTGAAGGCATGCATCTTTATTGTCACACTCCCTCATGATTAGAGCTCAACCGATATATCGGCCCGATATTGCGTGTTTGCCGATATACCATATCGGCAGTAAACGGCAAATTAATTGTACGCGGCTCGCCATAAGAAAAGCGTGGTTAAGCGCCACAGAATATGATTTTACAGAAGTTGTTGGAAGCATTTGAAGAGAGATTCGATTACTTACAGAAATTCGACAGTCTATTTAAAATTTTTATGTGTCCATTTGGGATTCGCGTGGAAGAGGCCCCAGAATACATGCAACTTGAGTTGATCGATGTTCAGTCAAGTACGGAACTGAAACACTTGTTTCAAAGAGAAAACTTCTTATTCTACAGTGAGTATATCGATGAAGATAAGACTCCCATCCTGAGACGAATGGCAATGCGTATTGCGGCGGCAATAGGAACAACATATTTGTGCGAATCTTTCTTTTCGAAATTGTAAATTATGAAGTCAAAGCATACGAGTAAGCTGACAAACGACAATTTGACAGGCCAGTTACGTTGTGCGGTATCAAAACTACCCGTTAATATTAAACAGTTGAGCAATGACATTCAAAAGTAAGTTTTGCACTAGGTGAAAGGAGAAAATTGCTGACTTTATTATTTTTCTTTCGATTTTTTATGCCAATGTATAGTATTGCTTGAAAATTTAAGCTTAGTAAAAACGTTTGCGGCCCACAACCGATTTCACCATGTGAAAGTGACCCGCGACACTAAAAAGGGTGGAATTAGATCACAACCAAAAGAAGAGCAACAGAATAAAAACTAGTCGCGCAAAATCGACTGTATGAGGTGAAACCGCACAAGCGGACCAGTTGGCAATTTCAGCTCCGCAGGCTACTCAACCCGGATTCAATATGGAACGATGAACTGATTTAATAGTTAACTCACCATCATTTTATTATCAAGCTTAGTTTAACAAGGACAAAATAACATCAATTTAGATTTAAGATTTCATTCCAATAATGTCGCCTGGCACCAAATCAAGCATATTCTTCCCTTTCTTCATCCAAGGATACCATATTATTCTATTATTATTTTAATTCAATTTGGAAAATTCATAACAAAGCTTCCTTTTATAATTTATTTCTCTATTACATTGTACTTTTATGCCTTTCTTGTCCACTGACTAAAATGCAATTTTGATAACTTCCCTTGAAATGCTTTTACCAAGTTCTTTTAAGATAATTTTCGGCTGTATTTAGAACCAGAAAATAGAATATGAACAGAAAAACAGTACCTACGAATTTGATATATACATAACATTATCGCATTTCACCAAAGCTTGCACGGTTACATTTTTGCTAGAATAGCCATAGTGTGCTGAAGACACTATCACCCACGAGTGGTGCATATCATATATGCGTAAGTAATCGCACTCTTACCTTTTGAAATTAACTATTCCCCCCATTCATATACCATACGGTATCATCGCGCAACGATTGCTGTACTAAATTTTTATTTTACCATAATGTATATACGTCGTGCATTCCGTGTTGTGTTGTTGGGTCTATTTGTAGATGTTGTCATGTTTTACAACTTCTGTGTACAAACAATTTTGTATACTCCACCCTCGTCCCTGTTAACACACCCACCCATCGCCTTCCTTGCACAACTGTCTGTATAAGGAACCATAATATATGTATATATTTGATTCAACGTTTTTGTATTTTCAATACCTATCAAAAGGGGTGCATGCGGCACATTTTGTTTTAGGCCTGTATGGTCTTGTGCATACATCTCATCTTCAATATTGATAATCGTCAACTCTTTTATTTTCCTTCAACGAGACGAATAAACATACATACAAGCGGCGGAACCGGTGGGAAGAGGAGATAGAAGAATATAGCAGAGTGAGTGAGTGATACAGAATAATTAATGAAATGATATCAGACCGCAAAAGGGAGAAATACGAAGTCCTGGGAAACGTGAGAGAAGGCGATGTTGATAGGTGAAAACATTAAAGCGGGCAATACAGAGGAAAGGGGGAAATAAAAGAAGAAAGTGGTATATGCTCAATATTTAAACGAACGGTCTTTGAAAAGCATAAGGAATAAAATAAATAATATTCGTTTCAAATATACAAAATTTCATAGGAAAATAAAGCAGTGTTTTATTTTTAAAGGACTTTGCGTTAAAGACTTTTTGAGTATAGGTCGCTTGGGAATTTCCAGAGTTAATTTGCCATTTGTGTGTAAGTTAGACTTAGGATAAGGATAGGAATTACATATTTATCCCGGGGGAGAGGAAAACCGACAACACGGCTTAACCACATGGCGAACCACGGCCTCTCGCCCGGTTAACATTCCATGTTCGGTATGGGATTAGTTAGTTCTTTGTTTCGGAAGCATGAACTTGATGGTGGAGAAAGCCGTAACCGATCAGCGGTTACGTGAACCACCCTACGACGGCGAGGAGTCCAGCCAATTCTCTCGCACATAACTATCCCCGCATGGGATTCGAACCTGCGAACCCACGCAGAGTAATCAGAGGTGCGGTGGCGAGCGTATATAATTATATAATTCGTCCTAATTCGCTCTTCTTTCGGCCATTTGCGCGAAGGGCTCTGAGGAGCGGAACAAGATGATGAGCAATTTTGCGTCATGCTTTAGTAAATATTGATGTGTCCATTAACTCTAGTTGTCATCCGATCAAAATATAGTCAAATCTTTTGTCACCACGCGAGGGTTTTTGTAAAGGGGTTAACGAATTTATTCCATACTGAAGCATTAACGGATTTCGAAGTAATACACCGGTAAGTTTATACGAAAGTTACCAGTCAGTTGTACTGTCCATATATCTTATTAAACCAAACCGTGTCAGGAATGCCAGTTTGATAATGTTATGGTACGCGAGCAAAAAGGCGCACGTTCGCTAAGTTGTATTGAAAACTTTTGGATAGGATTTTACATTTTTATCCTGGGGGAGAGTGATGTGTCGACAGATAATTCTGTAATTTGGTACAAGTACAATGATGAGTTTTAACATTATTCAGTATCCACCAGTTTATCATACCCATGCACACAATGTAAGTAATTTAATGTTCACTTATTATAGCAAAAATAAAATAAATATTATTTTAATAATACTGTAATATGATGTTCAATCATATTATTGCTGTTGCATTTTTTGTGTCAACAACATCAGCTTTATTTTCATCATGCAATATTCCACCTCGTTTCTGGTGCGATTCCAAAGAAATCGCACGAAGCTGTGGCGTGGAAATTCAATGTGCAGAATGGTTCTGGAACGAAGGTTCAAATGCTAAGCCAGTAAAGGTTGATGTGTACTTCGAATCCCTATGTCCCGACAGCATTGAGTATATTGTTCAAATGCTTTACCCAACTTGGAAAAAATTTCGTGACTCAGATATCATGGAGTTAAAAATATATTCGTATGGCAATGCAAACGAAACAAAAAATTCAAACACTGAAATGTGGGATTATACTTGCCAACATGGGCCAAGAGAGTGTGTTGGAAATCTTATCGAGAATTGCATTCAATATTACACTAATTATAACATCTTGAAATATTTCCCGATATTTTACTGTATGGAGTCTGCAAAAAATCCTGTTAATGCAGCTGAAAAGTGTGTGACAGATGCTGGACTGCAATGGTCTGAAATAAATAAATGTGCGAGTGGTCCAGAAGGAAATGCACTCATGCATAAAACCGCCATGGCAACAGATAGCCTTAAACCAAAGCAGATATATGTACCATGGGTAGTTATCAATGATAGGCACACGAAGCCATTGCAAAAGGATGCTCAAAATAATCTGCCAAAGCTTCTGTGTGACACTTATAGAGGAGCAAAGCCAATTCAATGCAAGGATTATGTTGAGTCTCATCCTATGTTCCATTAAATGGCTTTTGTTTTGAGTTATAAAGTTGCAAGGTTTGCTATTTCAGAGTAAATCGTCAATCATTTATGTTATAGAATATTACCTATGTGTCATTATAATATTTTCATTTTAGTGAAATTGCTAAAACTCACAAAAATGCAGAATGAATTATTAATATTAATGTAATGAATAAGATTTATCAAGTCAAGGTGATCATGAAATTTATATTTATTTAGAATAGATAAGTATTGGGAAATTGAATTTTAATGAATGTGTATTAACTGTGTTTACTGATTTGTCTTTTATTGTTGAAAGTTAAATCTGTCCTTTGTCGCTTCCAGACAAATCATTATTATGAGGGGTTCATCAATCCGCAAAGGTTTGAAACATCTGGACTAAATTGTCTTGCTTTGCGGGTAAATTTCACTCAGGGATTAGCATTGATATGTGCTTTAACAGTAGCTATGGGAACTAAATGCATTGATATTTGAGCTCTACATCAACAATTTTACATTAAAATCCCATCCTCTAATGTCCAATGTTTCAATCGTTGAAGTAAAAGTATATACTAAATTATTATTTTTTTTTCAACCTCTATATGGCTAAAAAAGAGTTAAAAGCCCCAAAATTGGTTATTAGAGACCTCAGAACTAAAATATTTTTTCAAGGCTGTTTTTGCATTGGTCTTTTCTCATAATTTCTAATACATCAGTGCCTTATTAGTCATTTTTCAGCATTTCATCTTATTATTACTAATCTATTCAATTACCTCATTTGAAAGTATTGAGCGGATCTTTATTTCGTGTAAACTACCATAAAACATAGATCCTTTTTTTTGTCTTGATGCATTTTTCATTTTCAGTGTTATTGAACCAACCTCAACTCTGTTGTTATTTGTAACTCATATAGTCAAGACGTCTAATGTTCCAATGATTGAAGTGAAAGTATATACTAATTGGGTGTTAATTATTAATTTTTTTTTGTAACTCGTGAAGGGGTAAATAAGAGGATAAGGGTTGAAAAGCCTAAAACTGGTTTGGGACCCAAGATCTAGAATTTTTTTAACGCTCTTTTGCATTGTTTTTTCCTCATACTATCTGGTACATCTGTGCCTCATTAGTCATCATTTAACATTTTATCCTTTTATTAATCTATGATTCTATTTCTATTTATGTTACATACTGTCAGTATTGACTACCATCGTACATGAATCGTTTTTTTGTTTTGGTGCATTTTTCATTTCAGTGATATTGTATCAACCTCAAGATGTCCAATGGTCGAAGGGTGTTAATTTTATGTTTTTTGTAACTCGTAAAGAGATAAATAAGAGAATAAAGGTTGAACACCCCAAAACTGGTTTGAGACCTCTGATCTAGAATTGTTTTAACGCTGTTGTTGCATTAGTTTTTCCTCATACTATCTAGTACATCTGTGCCCCATTAGTCATTATTAAGCATTTTATCCTTCTAATAATCTATGGTTGGATTACCTCATTTGAAATTATTGTGCGGATTTTATTTCATATTCTTTCACAATTTATGTTACATACTGTGAGTGTCAACTACCATCGTGCATGAAGCATTTTTTTTGTCCTTCCCGTTTCAGTGTTATTGTATCAAACTCATCTCTGTTGTTAATTGTTATCCCTATAGGCCTAGTCAAGATGCCTATTAAGTGAAGATGTCCAATGTTCCAATGGTCAAAATGGAAGTATATACTAATTGGGTGTTAATTTTTTATTTGTGAAACTCGTAAAGGAGTAAATATAACAAAGGTTGAAAACCCAAAAACTGGTTCGAGACCTCAGATCTAGAATTTGTGTAACGCTGTTGTTGCACTGTTTTTTCTTCATACCATCTAGTACAGTGGTTATCAAACTTTCTAGGCTGCGCCTCTCTTTTTAGAATTTGTCGAGTCTCATACCCACCCCAAAAATAACTACCGGTAAATACCAAAAGTTACAAATAGCAGATAGTAATGAAAAAGTATGTGTTATTGAAAATGCTTGGATGGAACATAAATAATGCAATAAATGTTTAATCACAAATATGGCGGGCAAGATCAAACCTAACGAATGTTTTTATTTTCAATTAGCTGTACGCCTCTCAAAAAATTGTGCACGCTCTCTATGTGGGGGTGCCCCACTGTTTGGGATCCACTGATCTAGTACATCTGTGCCTCATTTTGCAGCATTTGATCCTATTATTACCTCATTTGAAAGTATTGTGGGAATTTTTATTTCCTATTCTTTCACAATTTATGTTACATACTGTGAGTGTCAACTACCATCGTACATGAAGCATTTTTTCGTTTTAGTGTTATTGTATCAACCTCAACTCTGTTGTTATGTGTTATCCCTATAGTCAAGATGTCTATTAAATTGAGATTTGAATTAATGTTGTTACTCAAGAGAAATTAATAAAGATTTTTGTCGGTAATGTATAATTTATTGAACATTTGCCTTTTATTCTAGATAATATAAATATTATAGGTCTTATACTCTGTAATTAAAAGCAACAAGAATGTCTTTTGATCACTCAAACGATGGATTCTATGCTTCGTCCTATGACCAAAACCAACAACAACAATATGGTGGTTACGACCAATCCCAGTATGGAGGTTACGGAGGTCAAAACCAGTATGAGTATGGCCAACAAGCTTATGGCGGATATGGACAACAACCTATGGTCCCGAATTCCCCTCCACAAATGATGACGCCGCAAGAACCAGACCCTGGACAAAGAAATGATAACTATACTGGAGGGTTTGATGAGGAACCGCCACTTTTGGAAGAATTAGGTATAAACTTTGATCATATCACGAAAAAAACTTTTGCTGTGTTAAATCCTTTTGCTAACACAGACCCAAGTATAGTTAACGAAACTGACCTTGCTGGCCCTCTGTGCTTTTGTTTAGCACTCGGCGGAACTTTACTTCTCGGAGGAAAAGTTCAATTTGGATATATTTACGGAATTGGCGGAATGGGAGTTCTTGCAATGTACTTGTTACTCAACTTGATGACAATGGATGGCGTTTCAATTGGATGCGTTGCTTCAATTATTGGTTACTGTATTCTTCCTATGGTTATCTTATCATCAACATCGCTTATCTTATCTTTACAAGGTCTTGTTGGTATCCTGTTATCAGTTTTAATTGTGGGATGGTGCAGCTTATCAGCTTCGAAACTTTTCGTTTGTGGACTTAATATGGAATCCCAGCAACTACTTGTTGCTTATCCATGTGCCCTATTGTACGGTGTATTCGCACTGCTAACAGTGTTTTAAACTGGACATTTTACAATTTAGCATGTTTAAATTGATTGTAATGAAATGGATTTCAAATCATAAATATATCTATAGATCTTTTAACATGTCCAAGCTTGTTATTGTATGTATAAATCAACAACGTAGATACAATAAATAAATTACAAGATGAGATAAGACAAGATAAAATAAATTGAAAAACCAACAAATCAACCTGCTATTTTAAGTAGTTTCTATATCGGATATTAAACGCTGATTACTTCAAATAAATCAACTCAAATGTTTACTCAAGACTTCTCTATGAATTTGTTTTTTGCTCTTAGTTGAATAGTTATATACGGTGTCCATAAAGTCTCTTTAAAATTTCAATTTTGTTTTGAAGTCAGTTCTCAATTTATCTTGACCAGGTTTGTTGTTTTTTAATCAATAATCATTTAGGTATTTTTACTTCATTTAATACATCTATGAGGGCCAAAACAATACATGGTATCAATAAATTCCCTTTGCAATTCAAAAAATTTTTGAGACTTTACGGACACCCTTTTCTTGGGGACTTTCTAGACTGTATTTCCTGTTTTGTGGCCACAAATTCTAGTACTGAAAACCACTAAATGCTTATTGGGAAATACTATCCAATTAGGACTACTTACTAGTAAATTAAAGCGTAGATTCTGATTTTTATCTTTTCAACTTCCAACATAGTTTCATTTTCTATACGGTTAACTTATGCTCGCACTACAAATAGTTGCTTTGTGCGTCACTTGGTCGTAATATTTGTGTGATATATAGATACATATTGTTTATATATTTAAAAAATGGTAAATATTTTTCTTGATCTTTATTATTCGACCTCAGAATAATAACGGAAAATGAAGAAAGATCAATCATCTTTAAACCATAGTTTGCGAATTGCAATTATAAAAAGAATTTTACTTGGAACTCGTGTAGTGTGTGTACCAGGTTAGGATTAGGCCATAATTTTATTCCAATTTTCGTTATTTTAGTTTTATTGATAGTTCAGGGTCTGTGTTAGCCAAGTGAATATACCCCATGCCAATAGGTTTCAGTCCCTTTACACAACTTGATGTGAAGTAGACAAACAAAATTAGTATTGGTATACACACTTCTGGAGTGCCTTTAACTTTTCATATCTGTCACACATGAATAATAACAACCTATCAACTAATGTAGTTTTTCATCTGAATCCTAATTTCAAAGATGGTTGGTTTATTTGAGAATGATTTAATTGTTATTAGCATATGTATCATCTTAATTGATAATAACTTGAATTAATGTCTCACATTGTAAATTCAAGAGATTTAGAAAATTATAAAGAATAAGCATCCTTCCTGTTACCAAGCTGTTTGTATAATGCTTAGTAATTAAGAACATTTCCTGATTAAAACAAATTTAGTCATTGTCTGTGTATTAAGTTTGTAGAAGAAGCTTTGTTATGAAACTCAAATCTTTTGTGAAGTTGGGATAGAGTATTCAGGACTTCTTAAGTTTAGTTTTCAGAAATTTAGAAATTAAATTCAGTCACTAGAAGATAGTTTTTCTCGTATGTGTGAGATGATCTCGTATGTGTGAGATGATCTCGTATGTGTGAGATGTGTTAAATTTCAATGTTGACTGTTTTATTTACTTTAATTAACAGTTGGTAAATTTTTTGTTTTATTTTAATTCAGTACTCAAGTACTCAAATTAACAAAAGCAGAATTCCCAAATAATCTAAACATAAATTATAGAATAGGTATAGACTATAGATAATGATGTATATTGCTGCATTTCCAATTTTAAAACTCAAAATCCATTTTCTAACTGTAAAATATGCTGATATATATCTATCTGTATTTTTCTATAATGCTGAATTGGAAATAGATTGGGTTTCAACTTTCAATGCATCTATGTGACTCTTGAATTAATCAATAATTCGAAATACTATCCAAAATGTGAAGGTCACTTAGTGCTGGTATTAATAAATAGTAAATTTTTTTGTTTTGGACTATCACTTGAAAAAAATACTTTAAATAGTGCTTTATAAAATGCAGATGCCGATTATATTTTTACAATTTATTGTGATGTAGTTTTTTCATGAAACCATACAGTATGATGTAAAGGTTACGAATACTATTCTGTGTAACAGAACCGATCACAGTCCCATATTCCAAATTAGAGTGTTGCATTCATTATTCATCCTGTGCCATTATCGTAAATATTTGAATGCTTATTATTATTATTATAGTCGCAAATTGAGTTTACATTTCCGCTATTCAGTCATAGCCAGTCAGTTTGCAGTCAGTTTGCGTGTACATCAATGTCATTATGTAAAAATATTTTTCTACAGCAAATAACAACAAATGTAGCTTTAGTGACACTTGGTCCTTGAACGGCAATTTTGCAAATCAAATTTTGTGCCTTCCTATAAATAGAGATAATGTTGAACTGTATTAGTTTGCTTTGTGAATGAGCTGTAAGGGTAGGCCTATATAAATATGTTTGGCGTCATTAAAGTTGACAGCTGAAATTTTGTAGATGTAAATTAAAAGACACAACTTGGTGGATGGTGGTTTATTATGAGGATATTCTTTGAGTCAAAAAAGTCAGAATTAAAAAGAGATAATAAATAAAGCAAATAATTTACCATTCCAAATACATCTGGGTTGGAATATTTTTGACATCCTAAAGGCTCAACTTTCATATTCGTCTCTTTGTGTTTTATGTGCCAACTCATTCGTGGTGCTGGAAAACAATGCAAAACTTAATAATAAGTGCAGATTCATAAAAAAATGATCTTCAGTGACTCATGGACATGGGCTGGTTTTATTAGTTTTAGTTTATGGCCTCTTCACAATAAATTTTTATTAGTTTCATGTGGGATTTCATGCTATGTTCATTACATTTTATGACTCTTTCTTAGTATTTTGATTCATAGTATGATTGTACCGTACCCATTTGCGTAAAACGTTGGTGTAACATCTAACATGTTTGTGTCCGTTTAGTTAGATCAATATATTTACCATTAAACTTTTTCTTTCTACTGCCTGGTGCTTTGTGGTCGATGGGGCTCACTAATATTCTGTGAGTCAATATAGATTGATTTCTCACTTCATAGTTCTATTATTTTTTGATCGTCATTCTTTTATCTGTTGGCTTGTTACTCATTCAACTTCCTGGTATACTGTATGCGATTCGACTGTTGTATACATTTATGTGCTGTTATTTTTAATTAGTACAGAATGTCATAGGATAATGTTACATTTTAAAAAATTTGGTGATGAAAAAATTTCAGATATTCACTTATTTTTGGTCGGTTTTGCATGTTTGTGCCTTAATTAATTTTCTTGACCTACCTATGTGTATTACTGTATATAGTTATATTTATGATGTAAATAATCTAAAATGTGAGAAATTTTTTTGAAATATTTTTGTTGAATTTTACTTTGAAAAATACATCGATGGATACTGGAAGAGATTTTTAATAAAGGTTGGCGATATCAACTCATTCACTTTGTGAAATAGTTTAATGTTTTCAAAAATAAAAATAAAAGTGTCAAAATTATTGTGTATTAAAAATAAATTATCTCATTATATGGGCAATGTGTCTTGTTATTTCTACCATTTTTGTGATTTCTAACTTGTATCCTCCTGTACTTTTCCGAGAATTATTCAAGCAAAATTTCTCACATTGTAAAGATGTAACTAACAAACTGTTGTGTCTAAATTTCCAGATCAGATATAAAATGTTAACGTAGCTTTATAGTTGTAGATTGCTTCTCCATTGCTATTCTTCATTGGAGGGGAGGGAGGCTCATCAGAGCGAAAAAAAAATATTCACCATGGAGGGAAATTCTCCATACATCACAAATCTTGTAAATAGCATTATTGGTGTCAGTGTTCTTGCTATGCCATTTTGTTTAAAACAAGTAAGTATAGGATTTTATCATTATTTGAATCGAAATATTTTAGAATTATGTCAATTTATTAATTTTAATTTTGAATTATTTGTCCCTAACATTAAAATCATGAGAAATGCAATGTAAATTTTGTTCCAATTTTTGGTGAGATTTTTCAAGTTTTTTTGTTTTTAAATGAATGAACCAGATATTAAATACCTGTGTAAACAAGTCATTTTCAACCTCGAATTTTAATCTCTTGATAAAAAATTGGTCGGAAGAAATTTTCAGTTTCAATTGAAAGTTCTTACATCAACACCAATCTTGTTTGAGCATCGATCTGAATATGTTGCTAAAATTATCAAATTTTGTCATCGAATTCAAGTTGGCTGGCTTTTTCAGTTTATTGGAAAATTTCTGACAACCATCATTTTCATTTGAATGTCTGTATAAATAAATTACCGTAATAAAATTATCAAAATTTACCAACGACTCATAATACCCACGCTTTTATAATTGTGACAATTCATACCAACATCATAATGGGAATTAAATACCTAATATTTCCACCTATTTACTTAGCAGCCTATATTTGTCATTCATTATCAGCATGTTTCCTTGTGCCATCTGCTTATTATTTGAACAAGGGTGGGTGGGGCTTGTGATGACATCTTAGATGGTTTCATATCAAAACAGGATTTGGTTTCTTTGTCATTTCAGTACTAGGATCTAATGTTATGATTGATGGTGTCTTATAAGACAAAATCAAGTTTACACATTGTTTGGTCATGATTTTATTTGACCCCTATTTCAGCAGTTTGCTTTTAGAAGGGATATTCGATTACTGGTTTTTCAGAATCCTATCAAACTATTAACCTTGGTTTTGAATAATAATATACCCGGTAGATGAATTGATTTGATATCGAAATCATAGAAGATTCTAAATGTTTCTCCAAATTTGTCAAAAAATCAAATTTGGTAGAAACAATAATTTTAGTGCAAAATGACAAATTATACTTAAAGCACAATTCAATTGTAAACATGATGAATTTTACAGATAAAAAACCACAATACACAATTCTGGGTTTCTGAATTCTTAAAAAACATGTTTTGAATAAAGAATGAGTCGCAGACACTGTTCAAAATTATTAATAAAGTCGAAACACAATACACTATTTAGTTCATTAGAAATATGAATATCATAGACGTTTCAACCGCTTAGTGTAGCCTTTTTATTCCTTGTTACAGTATCTTTACAGTCGGTGCTAGACACATACTACCGCAATCAATTATAAATAAACCATTTTCTTTTTATTTATTGAATTATGAATATTTCTATTTCAGTGTGGAATCATCCTTGGCCTAGGACTCCTGTTTGGTGCAGCTTGGTTGACGTATATTTCATGCAGTATGCTTTCTAATTCAGCCTTTTATAAAAGAAGACGAACTTATGAATATTTAGGTAAGAATTGTGTGCTTCTGCTATTACTGAATCCAACCCAACAGGAGGTCATTGTTAATAAACATGGGTCGTATAAATAGCCTGTGCATATTTAGGTAAGGGTTTTGTGTTAGTAATATCAATAAAATTCAATCTAACAGGAGTTACACGATTTCTAACACTAGCTGTATATAACCCGTTCCTATCAATTCTGTATTCCTATTATTTTAAAAAAATTATTTATACTTTATAGCCTTTCTTCTGGAGAAAGTACTGTCACATATTAAGCTTTCAGCTTCTTACCCAATTTATTAAATCCTCAAATTGAGTTACGGTATACAAATTTTTTTCTGCTCAATTACGAAAAACTAACGTCCATGGTTGTCCATATTGTTGGATAATATTCTGCACTTTGGCCCCAATTTTTCTTAGAATTCAAAGTAAATATGTTCTTTAATTTCAGCATTATATACATTAGGACCAACAGGAAAATTCACTGTGGAACTGAGGTAAGAATATGAAATACATCTTTGCTAATATCCACTTTATAATGGGCCTACTGGGTTTGCGAAGACTAGAATATTTATGGCTTGACCCCCTTTCCTACATCCTAAGTGGAATGATGGCTCGGCGGTGTAGCGCCTTAGAAATACGCTCGCCACGGCACCTCTGATTACCTTGCGTGGGTTTGCAGGTTAGAATCCCATGTGGGGTTAATTATGTGCGAGAGGATTGCCGGACTCCTTGCCATCGCTAGGTGGTTCATGTAAATTAAACATGTAAAGTTTATTCAAAGTTGTAAATATCACAAACTAAAATTAAACTTGAGTTTCTTTACTTATGATTTCTGTGCCAGGATATTTTTCACTTTTACCTCTTTTACAGCATGATTGGTATGATGCTCGGAACTTGCATCGCATTTTATGTTGTCATAGGAGATTTATCGAATGGGATATTGTCGAGATTTATCGATGGTGCAGTAAGTATCATTAACCTTTAGTTGAAATTTTGGTACTCCCGAAGTGTGTGTACCAGGTCAGGGATAGGCCATGATTTTATTTCTATTTTCCTTATTTTAGTTCTATTACATGTTCGGGGACTGTCTGTGTTAGTCAAGTGAATATGCCCCCTTACTCATAGTCTTCGATCCCTTTACACAACTTGATGTAAAGTAGTTACCACCATATTGGTACACATACTTCTGGAGCGCCAAAATTTTAAATTAAATCATAAATACCACACAATTCAGGAATCTTGAACTCGAATGCATATTCGAAAAGATTTTTTAAAATCCGGCAACTAGCATTTTAATCACTCATTGACCTTTGAAATTCATATTAAATCATATTCTTCGCAAGTTAAGATGCCAATTTTTCAATGAATGCTATTTATATGAATAATAAGGGTATTAGTTTGAATCTAATTATAGGTGAGACTATCCCTTGGTTAGGTGGTAAAATTATAGGGTTATGGTAGCTTTAACTGGGTTTCCACTCCAATGCAGTATAGCGGGTTCGTTGTTTCTAGTAAGAAATTCAAACAATAGTTTGGTAATACTTTGGTTCTGCTTGATTAAGTGTCTTTCATGCATCAATGAATTTAAACGCCTAAATTGTTATTTATGGTGCACATAGCTTGGAATTAAAATTCCTTTCTATTTGATCTTGCTTTGGAAAGTTTTACTGCTTTAATTGTATTTAACAACAGATTACCACCACTAGTAGGCATTTTTACGTGAACATCTTTTTGTCACAACCCCTACTTAAACTTTGGGTGAGGTAATGGCCATTAGAAGTTCTGGCACTGACCAGGGACTATACCGACAGTCTATACCCTGCAAGGCCAGCAAAGTAACACCAGTGTGCTAAGCCATTCCAACTGACAACATTTTTGTTATAATTTCTATGTTCTATTTTACCTATTTTGGATTGTTGACTGTTCCACATTTATTTAGTCTATTAAGGCTAGCTGGTCAGGGAAATTTCTACCCCAAAAGCGTTTTCAAAATCTTTATTTTGTGGCATTCTTTTCTACCCATCTGTTCCTTGACAAATTGGATTCAAAGAACTTCAAGTCTTCTTGTATATGTGAAAATATTATTTTAAAACATTTTTCAGAATAGTATATTATCTGGTTCTGACCATTCTTGGCTTGTAGCATGTCGGTGGATCATTCATAATTTCTCTATAACTATCAGATTTGTTGCAAATTAGGTGAAGACTTGGGCTATTGTGAATAAACTTGTACTAAAAGCATTTTTTCTTGTTCCAGGATCCACACACACTGAGAGTCTTCACTATAATATTTTGTGCATTATGTATCGCATTACCTCTCGCAATGATGAAGAATTTGTCTGTTTTAAGTTATTTTGGATTCTTCAGTCTTACTTTTTATTTGGCTTTTGTTGTCGTGGTAAGTTATAGTTTTTTGGGAGTGAGATATTTTCAGATTAAAAAATTCCCAAATCTGAATATTCTGGATTCTGTGATTGCATGTTTCCCAATAAATTAATACACGCTTCAGATGCAAATAACGGAGTAAAATGATTACAAAATTGAAACTGTTTTTAGTATTCAGGAGCAGAGGAAAGGAGAGAGGGTGGAGCCTGGACCTGCTAGTTGTTACTATCTAACTTGGCAACTAGAAATTTTAGGAATCCCTTGTCCCCAGGAATTGAGGTCTGTCAGACTTATGGCAGTGCATGAGGGATACTCATCCCTGATAGAAGTAATAGGTCACCACTGAAATGCAAGGAGCTACTGAAACTATACAGATTTATGGCCATTACTATGCCAGCAAATTTTCACTCAGAAGTAAGGGACACCTATCTGTAAGAAAGGTTATACGTGACCAACCGACCACTAAAATTTAAAGAGGTATTGAAACTATACAGATGGTGCATTGCATGCCAGCAAATTTCCATTCAAAAGTTGTCAATACACATTTCTAAGAAAAGTTGACCAAAACACTAAAATTCAAACGGCTTCCAAAACTATACAAATACATCATGCGCTCTAAAATTTTCACTTAAAAGTGCATGACACTCACATTTGAAAAAAGGTATGGACAACCCGTAAAATGCGAAGAGCTTCTGAAACTACAGATTTGGGACGGTGCATTTCATGCCAGCAAATTCTGATGGGCCCGAAACTTGAATTTCAAAGTAAAATATCATTCTTTTTTACAGGTCATTTTAAACGCTGTCAGTAATGGATTGTTAAGCTGGGAATGGATATCGAAAGTGAATTTATGGCGACCGGCAGGAATGTTTCAATGTCTACCCATCTTCAGTCTTGCGTATGCTTGTCAATGTCAACTATTTATTGTGTATGATTCATTAGAAGAACCTTCAGTCAGAAGAATTGAAGATATTGTTTCAAGTGCAATCAAATTTGTAACTGTTGTGTATATGTCTGTGAGTATGAAAATTTTGATGTAAAATGATTGGCACACATGTAGTATGTGAACCAAGATGGTGGACACCGGAACGTAGTATGTGTACCAGGTTAGGGTTAGGCCATAATTTCAGGCACAAATACTACAGCAGTCACTTGCCTAGTACCTGAACTCTTAATAGAACTAAAATTGGGATAAAATTATGGGCTAACCCTAACCTGGTGCACATACTACGCACGGTGTCCGCCATCTTGGTTCAAATACTACATGATCGCCAATGATTGTAAGTTATTGCTTTACGAAAGGTTCTGATTTCGTGGGTTTAAGATCTCTTCATCGAGCCCTGTGTCCATCAGCTAACAGTAGCCAATGCTGGACTGAGAAAGATTTTGGCCCTTTTGAACATATTGACTAAATATCAGTGACAGCTTTTCCTTCTTCAGACTGAAACACCTGGAAAACGCTGTATAAAAATATTAATAGTTATGTCAAATTTTACTTATGACAAAAATTGCTGATACAAACTTATAAGTCTTTCTATTAGCTGAAACCGGCTGCTTGTTCAGAAGGAAAGTGAAATATCTTTTTGCCTATGATGCAGGTTAGACAAGAATATCGTAATTTATTCGAATTATTCGAGTATTCGAATTTGGACTAAACAGATTGCAAAATGGCTGGAATTTCATGAAGACTAACACCTCTGTTTATAGTGGGAGTGTGCAACAGGCATCCCACGTGCCACAACCCGGCCCGCCAACCCATTTAGTGTCGCCCTTATTAACACTCAGTTTTTTCATCATCAAGCATGCAATCCTAAAACGACAGTTTATGTTTAAAAATGCTCTTACATAATAATTTTTGGTTGCTGTTTTTTTCTGCCCTTTCGTCCGGTACCTTTATTACCAGAAGACCAAGCCGCCGTAGTCGCATTCTCTTCTCATGCCCTACTCGCGGCGCTCTGGTTGTCTCTAATTTTTTTTTCTTCGTTGTGCACATGGTAAAACTACATGTTTTTGTTGCCCAACTACATGTCTCAAATTGGTCATATTGCCCACCGACAAAAAAATGTTGCACAACCCTGGTTTATAGTATTTAGATATAGGCAGGGATGGCCATTTCCGAATACTAAACTATTCCGAATACATTCTAAAATAATGTTTTCGAATCTGGAATTCCGAATACATTCTAAATTCGAACATAACACATTTTTGTTTTAGTTGATTAAAACCCAGTAAATTAGGAAATAAGCTTCAATAGAAATATCAGAATAAAGCCACAAACCAACAGTATATGTACACAAAGTTTATAGCTATCAATAAAAAATAATAGCAACTTGTGACACAGTCAGTTTATTAAAATTATTCATTTGTACAAATGACCATATGAAAAGATAGCCAAGAAGTTGACTGACGCTTGATATTACGATAATAGTCAAGTCTATTGACAAAAATACTACTTGTATTCAGATAATTGTGTATATTTTCTGAGATGAATAAAATTTATTTGCAATACAGGCAACAACAATCAAAAATCCATTATGCCTTTAAAAATTCTAATATTTAAGCCTAGGGTATTCTACTACCTACCGGTACCAGTATATTTGTATATTAATTTATGTGAAACATATTGTTATTATGTGTAACATATTGTTGTGTTTGGAATTAGAAATAAATTAGTAGAGAATAGATGACCACAACTGCCAGCCGCGCAGCCAGGATTTTCGAAATCGGAAATTCCCATTGCCGCCTGTAACGCGCTCGTTAAAAGAGCCATCTTTTCAGCGTATAATGATCATCCTGTTACGTAAAATATTCGATCCATGACAACTACGAGATTCTAAAATATCTTTATATATTAATTTAATGTGTCCAACGTAACTCGCGGTTGCTTCTTCTTACGTCAAAAAAAAAATTACTATTCGGTCCACGGCGATCTGTGACCTAAAATTACGAGATAAACTGCCTGATGTATTTAATTTTAATACGTGTTTTTGCAATCTTGCCAACTCGTTATCGCCGTAAGAAAAACCTCAAATAATTATATAAAATCTTCAATTTAACCTGCGGTTGCGTCGACAAAATAAAATCCTCACCAGTCTTATTATATACCATTGCAATCCGCGGTCATAAAAATAAAAACGCGAGGTAAACTGCCCGATTAAATATTGTTTTGATCCGTATTCGGCAAATAGTTAGATATACTTGTTAACAGTGACTTCGCTCGATCGAAATGCTGCCACTCTGATTATTTTTAGATAAAACCGTTCGAAAAATCCATAAATATGCTGTAATATCTCAGAGTAAAATTTATTTCATCACAATAAAATTGATGGAATATACTTTAGATTAATTATATTATATACATCCTCACAACCCGGGAAAAAGTCGCGTTTCAAACCTTGTATCGTGTTAACACGAAAATATTCGACGGCAATTTGAGGTAATGGATAATCAGGCAAATCCCGCCCTCAATTAGTGACGATATGTTTCTAAACGCCGACCAAATATAATGTGTGCCAGAGGCACACGAAATTTTGCAATTTTCACTGCCTAGAAAAGCGTTTTTTAAATTTTTGCGGGCCTCAATAAAACTTATATTGTTTACGGTTTTATTTTCAGTATTTTAAATTGCCGCTTTTCAATCAAAAAGTTGCGTTGTCTTTAGAAACTCGCCGCCGATGAACGTATTTACCAGATTCACAATTCCGTGCGCCTACAAAAATAAAATAAACGTTATCGTTATCGTGGAACAAATTTGTGGAAAATTTTCGTTTTAGAGAAAATAACACAATCGTAAAGGCGTTTACGGGCCTAAATAACACGTTACGCTGATGAGTGATGAAAACAATCACGCGCAAGTTTCTATCGAGAATGTTTTCATTCAACGGAAACGTCTTGAAAGCGGCGTCGAAAATGTGTGACGTCACACAAATATCCGATATTCTTATGAACGTGAATTCCGATATTCGAATGACGAGATATTCGAATACATTCGAATACTTAATTCGAATTGGCCATCCCTGGATATAGGATATTGTTTCTAATACATCATTGTTTTTGAATGACAGCAGTTGCTTATTCGTGGCAACGCCATCCCTCGTTAAACCATTATTAGGTCATCTTGTGCCCACTACCTTTTTAAATGTGTAAGTAACTCCAGATTAGTGGTTCCCAAACTTTTTAGGCCTCACTCCCTTTTTAGAATTTCTCAAGTCTCGCGTCCCACCTAAAAAATAACTACGGTAACTTACAATAAGCTACAAATAACAGATGTTTCATTCAAAAAATATGTGGATAGAAAGTGGATATTCAAAGAAAAGAAATTCAAATATCCAAAATAAGGCGGGCAAGAGCAAGTCTAACAAATATTTTTATTTTCAATTAGCTTCACGCCCCATTGTGGGACGAGCCACTGTTTGAAAACCACTACTCTACTCTAAATTAAGCCAGATCTGAATCCAATAGTGTCTGCTTGAGTCATAATGAAGTGAAACATCTTTTTGCTTTTACAGGTTGGATTCTTTGGCTATACAACATATCAAGAACATATAGCTGGGAATCTTCTTGTCAGTTTTCCTTCAAATATGCTGCTGGATTTCATCAAACTTGGTTTTGCGATGTCTGTTGTCCTCGGATTTCCTCTCATTATATTTCCATGTAGACAGAGTATTCATACATTGTTTTTTGGAAAGGTGGGTTAAAGTGTTGGGTGTAACTATGTTAACATTACAGGTTAATGTTCTCGGGGTGAAAACGCCATACCTACCTAGGGTGTAATAAAATTGATGACAAACTGTGACGGTTATTTTCCTCAAAAAATAGCAGCTTCTCACTTAGTCAGTGGCTGCTTGAACAGTCCCTTGTTAAGATTGAAAATGGTGAGAGAACGCACTATAAGAAAGCATCGTTATTAGTGATGAAATAATTTCTAATCTTGCATCCCATTTCTTTGAGGTAAATTTGGCCCAATTTAGATTCTTCAGACAAGTAAATATCGGCAGACTCGACTATTGTGAAATTTGTTTGAAAATTGCTGGTCTGGCACTCATTTGATAAGTCTGAGGGATATAACTTTTGGCAAGACTTTCAGGCTCTTATATATTTGGTAGTTTTGTCCTTTGCCATTGTGTGTTATTGCACTTGGTACACTTGGTTCCAATAAAGCCCTTATTTCACATATTACCTCATATAGCACTAATTGAATTAAATATGAAACTAGGTGCAAAATCTATGTTCTGAGATAGAGCTTACCTCTTTTAATTCACCCTACAAATGTATTATAAATCTATTCAAGCTGAATTGGTAAATGGAGAATGAACCTTTCAATTTGGAATTATGAAAAAGTTTCCATGTCATTGTGGCATAACACAATAATTTCCCACTGTGAATGTGAGGGCTTGTGCTTTAATTGTACATTATAAAAGAATCTGTGACCTTTTCAAATTTCAAATTAATGCTGAGAAATGTCATCACATTTATTCAGATTCTTAAACTTAATATATAGGGTGTCCATAAAGTCTTAAATTTAAAACTGCAAAGGGAATTTATCGATACCATAATATATTGTTTTGGCCCTCACAGATATATTAAATGAAGTAAAAAATACTTAAATAATTACTGATTAAAAAATAACAAACGTGGTTAAGATATATTGGGAACTGACTTCATAACAAAATTAAAATTGTCAACTATTTTGCCACAATATAAATACCATTTAAAATTTTTGAACAAAATCATAATTTTACCAAACTTTTCAGATAATAATTCATCACTCCTTCCTCTATTTAGCATTCTATTCTGATTCCAAAAATGATAATTTTTTTTGTTTTCAGCCTGTTGGTGAAGGACTTCAACCAAATACCTACATTCCGCCATTTTTATTCAAATCAATAACTCTTACCATTGTGCTGTCAACAATGACTGTTGCTATCATGATTCCTAATGGTGAGTTATATTATTTTGTCACAATGTGTACTTAATCAAGTAGGAATTTATTTTTCTTGAAAAATTTTATTGAGCCATATCTCGACCAATCAATGAACTTACAGTGTGTCTTGAATTTCTGATGACAAATAATAAGTGTTTAATATAAGCGCACTTGAGTTTTACAATAGGATTTTGTGCATTTTCAAATTCAGACAAGCGTCTTTGATTTCCAAATCTTGAATTAGCTAATGTTTTATGCATCTCTGAAATTCATGCTTATCTTAGGATAGGATTTTCATATTTATTCTGGAGGAGAGTAAGGACAGGGATTCTAAGAAATTCGAACACACAGACCGGTAAATGTTTATACTGCTTTTTACCTGTTCGGCAGAATCATAGGCGTTTCAGCAAAGTTTTCCGTAGCGCTTGCTCAATGCGCCGCGTCAATCATTGAGCCGTCTTACTTACGACTTTCTGTAATGGATGTTCCCGGGGCATCGATTTTCTTGTTTATTTCCGTAACATTGACCAATAAGCAAAAAGTCAGCGATGATGTAACAATTGCATTTTTTGCGACCGTACAGTTGCTCAGACAGATATTTTAGCATGGTTGTGAACATTGTCTTGTTTTCGTGGATTTGCGTGGTATTTGTCAGTTTTCAGTTGTGCTTCCAAAATTAGTTGTGACTGAAGTAATTTAGTTGTCAGTATATCTTACAATGAGCTTCAGTTTAGTTGCAATAATCAAAAACTAGTCCCGAAAAGCTGCGATAGACTAGACTAAAATTAGCTACCAGTACCTGTATGCGGCACGTGGTTGTATATTTTAGTAAAATTTATTGTTTGTTGCATGAAAATCAGTTGGTGAGAACCAACTCTCTAAAACACTCGCAAAATGAGAATCCTGAATTTAGCAATAGTATAGTATAGGAAGAATTTTTCTGGGGTCAAGGAAACAATCCTTGTCACTGTACTCTATCAATCTTCGATGCTGTTGAAAGGTATTTGGGTTCGGTAATGAGTGATATAATTGAGCAAATAATGGTATGATAAGTTTGCAAAGCAATTACCACTGATGGTCGAGTTATGTAGTTTTTTATTTGCCGTGCAAACACTCCCTAAGTGTAAAAATAGATTTGGACTTTGATTTGTCTACAAATACGCAAGGGAACTTCAGCACTTTGGACTTTGGTTTCCATGATGTTCATAACACTCTTTAATTTATGTACAGTATGATTTAAAACAAGTTATTAGAGATGGGAAATTTTTCATAGTTGCCATAAGAATATTCTTGGATGATGATTATTGATGCATTGCAATTGATATTTTGAATAACCCTTGTATTTGCAACGAAATAATGAATTTACTATTTTTTTAATAAACCCTGACAAAAATGTGAAAATGAGTTTAGCAAAAATAAAACAGTTTCAATTATCCGGGTATTTATAATACATTTTTCAAACTATTTTCATTCAATTATTTCTTTGTCATATTTATTTGAAGAATATTTCTATTTGAATTATCGTAGTGTTGATAAAATAGGAGACCTTATTGATCATTGCAGCTTTTTCAATGACGACAGGGCCATAAATCCATTCTTATTAAGTATCTTAACTGTATCGAAAAACATTTCTGATCATAACTGACCAGAGTATGTACAATGTATTACATTGACATCATTTGTCTTTTTCACGATTATGGAGCTCAGCTAAAACTTTCTTAATTTAGCTTCCTATAATTTTACGACAAAGCATATGCTGATAGGTCAGATTAAGAATAAAAGTATGTGAACCTTTTCCATCAAATTTTATATAAATCATTTTTATTTATATACCGGTGAACCTCCATTTCAGTGTAAAAATTGGTAATTGGAAAAAATTGTAGCTTTTACTTTTTCCGACTCAAACTAATTTTGTCAGGCAACCCTAGTTGTGGTATTTATCTCATAGAATATGTTGGACTTGGAACACATTCATTTTTGGCCTTTGGCCTAATATATATTTTATATTCTGGTACATTGTACAGCAGGGGTTGGCAACCTTTTGTCGCTTGCGTGCCAAAATTAATGTTGCAAGTCTTTGGCGGGCTGCACAAATTTTTAGAAGTTGAAAACCAAACGGATGATACTTGTTATAATAAAAATCAAGCAGTACTACATCTCTCGAATAGAATATAGATTTATTCCCTCATTGCCTTGCATCTCTAAAAATTCTATTTGAATATTTTCCGCGTCATTGAACCCTTTGCACTTAGCATCAACTTTTCTGCGTTTTGTTGCCATTTGTCTAATTATAATTGAAGTATAGGCTCATTAAACGAGTAATTGTAAATTCTATACTTGTTCAATTATGATAAAATTTAGTCCACACTGTTAAGTAACGAATATATTTGTCAAAACAGCTGTTTTGTTACTATTATTCAGTGGAGCGTCGCGAGTCGGATCCGGCCCGCGGGCCGTAGGTTGCGGAGCCCTGTAGTACAGTCTACACATGGCAACCCAACTCAATTGCTCAAGGAATTTGTTGAGGTTGCTTTCAAATTTAGTTTTGGCACGAGGCTTATTGTTTTCTACATTTACTTTTGTAACACTATAGATATCGTTTATAAAAATTTTTACGTCACACGTACATGGTCGGCCAGTCCAGGTGGCGACATTTTTGGCCCTTCGTCCAAAAACCTTGCCTACCCCTGGCCTACACAATAGTTCTCTTGGAACTTATCAGAGAAGGCTACAAGCTTTTCAATTACCTGTATAAAGGTACACGTGTTCATCCAGGTTTTAACGCTGACATCACTTGTCTTGTTTATGATTTATAGATTAGCTCATACAATGTCATAATGCCACTAATCTGTCTATGATGTCAAGAGCCAAAACATCTTCTAAACTGGTTAAAACCGGTTTAAACTTGCTGAATCATTTGAAATTATTCTTAAAGTTGTTTACTCGAAAAAATTCAGGTAAGATAAAGAATACACGTTTTCTTCTCTTGTCTATTTTTGTTTCACCGCAGATACAGCGCTCAAATTAAACTCCTTATTAGGTAGTTAACATTGTCTAGGTAAGTCAGTGGTTCTCAACCTTGGGGTCGCAGAGACAAGAACTTTTCAGGGGGTAGCTGAACAAAATAATTTGATATGCGACTTTTTCTATAAAATCCTAATCAGTGGTAAAAAAAATTGTTAATAGGCGGAAAAATTAAAAACAAGAAACAATGAAAACTAATTTTTAAGCCTTTGGGATGACCAATCCCAAATTGAGGTCTCTTACCCCAGAACACTCACTCTTAACACCATGACATCTTATCTGTTTACAGTACGCATTTTAATTTGACTATAAGTCTGTGATTTCCAATATTTTTTATCGACTTGCCTCCTTTACCCAATTTGGAATCCTTATCCCTCTCTATGAATACTATATTATTTATTGAATCTCTAATGGGCCGCTTTTCGATGTAATGCTTTACTTTGAGGGACCTACTAATTAAATTGGGCATATATCATGAAAGGGGTCGTGGCCTGTTAAAAAAATATCTAAAGGGGGTCGCGACGCAAAAAAGATTGGGAAACCACTGGTCTAGGTGATATTATTAGGTTTGAAAGTAGTGGGTTGTAAGGTATTACTTAATGAATATGTAATATAATCTCTGTATTATTGTGACTCATCTTGAGTTTTTCGAAGTAAACATTTGATCTTTTGGAAAGAACCTTTAAATAATAATTTATTTGAAAAAAAAAAGAAAGAAAAAATTCTTTGAAATTTTTCTTTCCCTAGAGCCAAAAACTTCGTAAACATAAGAGTATTCAATGTAATCAATAATATGACTCATCTTTCACGTTTTTTGCATTATTAAAATAAATTTTAATTCATGTAAAAGGCTTCTAAATAATGATTCATATGTAATACCGTGTTGTTATCACGAAATTTGAAACATTTTCAATATTCTCCAGTTTGAAAAAAACTAACTCTTTAAAATTATTTGTTCTTCAAGCAAAATACTTCAAAATGTACAAAAATAGTTTTTTTTTAACGATTTCTTTTTATTCTAGTTTAAATCCATGCGTTAAGTAAACTGAACCTGGTTGAGTTCATTGTTTTTGTTATGATGTCTGAAATCATCTAACTTAACCTTCATGTAAACTGTAATCCCATTGACCGCGAGATCAATAGAGTTCAGGTCATGAGGCCAAAACCTCATCAAATATGAAGTAGAAAATTCAATGTATAATTTATGTTGTATGGAATAATCTCAGAGGCAAAGATTAATTTGAAGCATGAGATCAAAACTTCAAAACCACGGTGGATTTTCCCCTGTAAAAAAATTACAAGTAAGAGTATTAAATTGAACAAGAAAAAAATTAATACCGGTAATACATGCACATTTAGTAAAATCCTATTTTAGCCTATAATACATGCACATTCTGTGAAATCCTATTTTAGCCTGTTTTTGCATCTCAAGCACCCATAACATGACTGAATATCTGATATAGACAGTCCGCTTTTCGTCTGTTGTGTGCTAAATTATTAGATCTTTTAAGTTCTAAATGAGGGCAGTTAAGAAGTAATATTTCGCGAATTGAATGGTGTTTTTTTATTATTGGCGGACACTAGCTGTAAGTTATCATGCCAAATCGATGTTAGCACGGCCAGATATAAATTGATACAGCCGGGTGCCATTTTCAGTGTATCATTTGTAGTATCTATGATGAGTAAGGTGGGTATCATTGCTGCATATTTTACTAGTAACGTACATCTTTTTATATAGAAAAGTTTAGCAGCTTCGCTGTGCAAATTTCGGTACTTCCGTAGTGTGTGTATCAAGTTAGGATTAGGACATAATTTTTTCCCGATTTTCCTTATTTCAGTTTTATTATGAGTTTTTGTATCATCTTTAGTCTTCCTATATATCAATAAAACAGCTGTATAATTTTTTAATGGCACCAATATGATTTTCTTCATTACCTATCTTATGAAATATTACAAGGAGTGCCTTAGGCTCGTTAGGCAGACAGATTACAAA